GTGTCTTGGAGTTACTCCAGCAAAGCCAGTGTCTTGGTGTGCTAACAAGGGGCTCTGGGGGTAGGGATCCGGCTGGCACACAGGGAGGGGATCCGCTTGCTGCTGTTTGCAGTGAAGGGAGCCGCTTCGCTGAGAGAGGCCCTGGTCATGGTGCCAAGGGGCTCAGCAGGGCCTGCTGGTGAAAGCCGTGTCTCGCCGGGGCGTGCAGGGCGCGAGTGCAAGGACCACGAGAAGGAGAATGTGAGGCGGATGCGGGAGATCCAGAGGAGGTGCAAGGAGAAGGAGCTGGCGCGGGAGCACAGCCAGCCCAAACCCATGAAGGCCCTGTGGAAATCCCAGAAGTATGAGAATGTGGAGTCCAAGGTGAAGGCCAAACTGCAGGTACCTGCACACAGCGGCATCACAAAAAGACTAGAGAGAATTCCTTTGTCTCGGGGGCATTCTAGTCCCTGCCGCGGCCGGCTGCAGCGTGAAGCCGGGCCTGGCTGGGGCCACTCGACACACTGTGTGTGATGTGCTAAATGCACCGGCACGCCCATGGATTCCTCTCTCGTGCTACAGTGTCGCTCCATTGAACGCAGTGGAGATTTCCCCAGGCAGGGTCGTGTCTCCCCTGCCAGCTGAGTTCCCTGCCTGACTCCTGCCTGGAGGAGACGTTCCCCGCACGTGCAGCGGTAGAGTCTGGGGTCGCCCCTCGGCCCTGGAGCTCCTGCTATGTGGTTTGCCTTTCGCAGGAGAGCTCTCCCCCGCCCAACCCAGAGTCTCAGAACTTCCTGAGGGCATATTCCCGCTGCGGCTCCGGGGTCCAGCCGCGCCGGTCGCTGTCGCCCAGCCCTGCCATGTCCAGAGCAGTGCCAGACGCAGCAGCTGCAGGAGTGCAGGGCGCAGACGCCAAGGTGAGGCTCCATGTCCCCGGGGGCTCCCAGCACACCATCTCGCTCGCTTCCCTGGCCTTTCATGCTGCCCCCTTCCCTTCCAGATCCAGGTGGAAGGCATCAGTGTCGACTTTGTCAGCCACAACGCCCGCACGGCCAAGCGGGCCCCCCTGCGGCGCTCGCGCTCGCTGCAGTCGCTGGCCGAGGCCCTGGAGCAGAAGCGCCGGGAGCAGGAGGAGTACAATGCCAAGCAGAAGGGCCATGTGCCCCAGTAGTAAGTGGGTGCCTGCTGGGTGGGAAACGGTGCCGCTGTGCGCGGGGGAGCTGGGCCAGGCTCGCTGGCCGGGAAGGCTGCACAGCGTGGCCCAGCGGCTCCGCTCCTTGTGGGCGCTCGGCCCTGCAGGGAAGGGGTGCCAAAGGGACTTAGGAGCCTCAGTCTCCTCGGGGCCTGAGTAACTTCCCCTGAGTGCCACCCATTGTCCCACGATGGCCAGGATGGGATGGATCCCAGCTCCCCGTGCACCTGGGCAGTGGCTTGGCTGATTGCTGTGTCCTAGGGCTGGCCACAGGAGGCAGAGCCTCTCACTCTCTCCCTGGCCCACATCCAGCGTGGTGCCCCTTGGGAAGGGAGTTTGGCGCGTCTGTTCAGTCCCTGCATGGCCCGGAAGCACCGCCAGGTTCTCTGTGGAGCCTTGGCCATTGGTGCTCCCAGCCCAGAGCCAAAGGGCTGGATGGAGGCATCAGGTCCTACCCGTTGCTGGCAGGGTGGTGGATGGGGGAAGCTAGCACTGCCCGTGCTCTGCCTGGCTGGGGCAGAGACTCAGCCCGAGGTCTCCAGGGCTGTCGGTCCCTCTGTACGGGGATAGGCACCCTACCCATCTGCTCTCCTCGTCCCAGCTAAGTCCTGCCCCCGGGCACCTGGCCCTCGCCCCGTGTGCTGATCCCCCCCTCTTCCCTGGGCAGCCTGCTGGAGCGGAAGGATCGCTGGCGCAGGGAGCTGGAGGAACGGCAGCGGAACCTGCCCGACCCTGACATGCCCCCGGGTCACACCATGATGCCAGAGAGCGAGCGGCTGGAAACTCTCAACAACCTGAAGCAGAGTAAGGGGAGAACCATTCGCTCCCGCCAGAGGGGCCTCCCCAGACGGGTGGGAGGGATGAGCCTGGCCTCAGCCACAGGGTGGCGCTCTTCTCGAGTCCATGCATGGCAGGTGGGTCACAGATCCCCTTGAGACTGGCACCTGGTGGGCTGAGGTACCGTGGAGTGAGCCCCGACGCCCCCGGAGAGTCAGGCTCCCACCCTGGCCTGGCCTCTCTGCCTCACAATATTCCCAGGCTGGTAGCATGAAGGGGCGTCTCCCTTCCCCCTGGACCTTTGTGGGGCTGCAGCAGGTTGCGTGAGCAGCGGCCCCGTGCGATGCCCAGTGGACTGATCTCTGGCAGCTGAGAGCCCCCCCCTCACCTGCCACTTCCCT